TTTGCATGAAGAATGCACACCAATGTGGCAAAACAGCGGAGAATGAAGTTGACTTTTAAAATGCATCTACTTCAAATCTAAAACATCTTTGCAAGATCTTGGCCTGAATGAACAATATAAATCGAGGCCAAGACCTTAGCTAAATGTGTTTGTTATCCATCTTGAACAATTTTGTTTAGTTACAGCTACAAAAACCACAAAAAACAAGCAAAATGTGGTCAAGGCCCTCATGAAGCTGACTTTTATCCTCAGAGGATGACAAATGTATAGCTGTCAAAGAACTGTGAAGCTTCTTCCTTTCGGTTTTTCTGCCTTGAAGCTGACCACAATTCAACAATCTTAGCCACTCCGGTGGCTTCCGTCTCCGGTGCGCTGTATTCGGGCCATGACCATCTCGTTGGACACTCTCTTGCAGTCCTTCGCCAGGCCCAAGAAGCACATGAAGTCGATGAAACAAGTGGTAAGGTTCAACTTGCAGCCAAACTCGCTGGTTGCATAGTCATAGGGGAAAGAGTGGTGATAATTGTGAAATCCCTCACCTGTGAGGAACAAGAAGAGGTCGTCAACAAATCGGACAGACAACAGGAAACAATTAACAGGACACGGTCAGACTCTGCAAAGCTAGATGACGTTTACTAGATATTTAAATCCATTAAGGGTTCCAGCACATCAATAAAAGTAACCGCATCTGTAATCAGCAGTGATCTTTATAGTTAGAGGTTGTGTTGTTTTGTTAGTTGTTCTACTTGACATGCCATTGACATTTGATGGAAAGTTCAAGGACCAGTGTGTAGGATCCAGTGGCATCTAGTGGTGTAGTTGCACATTGTAATTCCCTCGCTTCACCCTTCCAAGCGCCAAGGAGAAAAATTGGCGAAAAAAACGGCCAGTGTGTGGTATGTCTGTTCCGGGCTACTGTAGGAATATGGCGGTTCAACATGGCGGACTTGTGGAAGGCATCTTTAGTTATAAAAGGTTCATTCTAAGGTAAGGTTGTATTATCACTATCATAAGTCATGAGTCGTAGTCTCTCCAACCTTATTTTTGTTCAAGAATTTGAGCCTATCTTTTCTTTTGTCACGTGCAATGCGTTTTTCCATACCTATAGCGCTGAACGCGACAAACTTGTTCTCCCTGGGGTTGATGTTCTTGTCATAGGGCCTGTTTCCCCACATGTGAGCCGCGCTGTTGACCAGCCAGGTGGCGTTCAGGACCATGGTGTACCTCAGCACTGCCGGGATGAAGTACGCCACCCACAGAGACTCTCCCCACATGTACCAAGGCACGAACATGGGGACGAAGAAGCACATGAGCAGCACAGACGGCTTGTAATACCTTTCGAGGAGACAAGAGTGGGGGAGAAGAGCAGAGAGAATGGAGGTGTTTGTTTAGCACAACATAAACATTAAACACACTAATGCTTGTCAAACATGGGATTGTTCACTCTCTCACTTCCCTCCGCATGACCCAGTTTTTTTTTTACAGAGGCCAACCTTGAGTAAATCTAAACATGCATGAATAAGATGTTGGTATTTGGTAACTTGTCAAACCAGAATGACTAATAGAGCCTGCACTATAGCAAACTCTGCAGCAGAGCTGGGTAAATCGTAGTGGGTGGATGAGTTTATTTTTTTCTTTCTCTGCTCTTTATTTGAATTTGATATATAATCAGAAATAAAGTTATGAAATGCAATTGTGTTTATTTGCTGTCCACACTACCTGCCAAAAGGAGTAAAGTGCGCTTTTTTTTTTTAAGAGTAAATCCTTCCAGGCTGATATTTAACTGTCAGATGAAGTGTAAAATCAACCTTTGACTGAAGCCACTTACTTCCTTTGAAACATTACAACTTTGTCAGCCAGCAGGTCATTGAGCTCAAGCTTGCGCCCTTTCTCAATGACGTCAGGGTGTTTGCGCACCAGCAGCCACCCGATGTGAGCGAAAAAGAAGCCCCGCACGGCGTTGTGGGGGTCAGCATCTGTCTCTGAATATTTGTGGTGGACCCTGTGGTCTCGAGCCCATTCAAAGATATCATTCTGTGGGTTCAGGTAAAGACAGAGATTACATACACTGTAGACACAACCCGGTACTTACACAGTAATGAAAACTGCTATTATCACAACGTTAAGTGTCTGTCATTTTTAGGTACCTGAAATGCCATGGAGTTAGCAAAACCAAGAAAGATCCTTAGAGGTAGAGAGGCCTTGTAGGATCTGTGACTCCACAGACGATGAGCCCCTGCAGTAATTCCTAAAGCACTTATCAAAAAACAAAGTGCGGCTGTGGGGAGAAATGCATCAACAAATTAGTTTGACCACCTTCTACTCATCTCATCCTGTCACAAGCACTTTATGGCACTAATATTGCACATTGTAATGTCTAAGCATGAGAGATTTTCTGTATGGTTTTACTGTCAGAATTAGAGCACTGAAGCTTATCCTGCAACAAGTGACACACCATAAACCCATCTATGCTATATTATAATTATATATATGTAACTAGGAGGAGATTGTCCCCCAAATAAAGTAAAACTGTTTTTCAAAAAGCAGAAATGATTCATTTACAATGGCATTTGTTTACCAATTCGGTAGAATATTTGTGAATTTGCTCCACAATGATCTTCACAATACAGTTTATCACACTATTCTACTTTCCTGCACAATATCTCCTGCTAAAAATAATTAAAAGTGACTGAATTGGTTTATACTAGTCTACTTGTTTAACCAGAGATTTACTAACCATGAAGGGAGTCTTGTTATATGGAACTGTGAGTCTCTGGCTAATGTAATTGCATCAGATCAGATGATGACTGGATGGATAAAACTAATTGATGATTGCATGTACAAGACTGGAAGAATTCAAATCTATTCAGAAGTGCAAGATCTATGGTTTTAATATTGTCTGCATTCCTGATTTACTGTCACTGTTACTTAATTTAATTAAAAAAATAGATTGTTTACCTCTGTTATTTTATTATTAAGTGACATTAAATCCCTGATCCTTCAATCCTGATCTATAATCCCACAACATCCAGGATACTGGGAGGTTCATGCACACATCTATACATACATTAGTGGACCTGCATGCTGACAGTACATGTTATATGTATTATAATAACAGTATAATACAAATGTCACAATCCTCCTGTGCATAAATACTGTAGAAGGTATGATGTTTTTTTTTTTACTTACACCAAAGCAAGGTCAAAATAGATGCGGAAGGGACGATGGACACGGCGTACAGGGCAGCTAAATGCAATAGAGTCATCAATAAGACATTTTTCCATACGATGATCGTGGCAGGTTTGGGGCCCTCTTTCTCTTTGTATGTGTGATCAAACACGTCTTCTCTGGTGGCCTCTGGTAGAGCATTCCCGTTGCTGGGCTTGTGCTGCTTCTTCTCCAACGCCTCCGCCTCTGTCATCGTGGCCGCGGTTTGGTGATGCTCTGAGCGGCAAAACAAACACCCCCCAAAAAAAATAATTAGACAAAACGGTTACTTAAGTGTTTTTTTTTTTTTTTTGTGGCGAGTTAACGTCAAGGAGGAGACAAAAAACAACAACAACAACAAAAAAAACACACCAGCTCGCACAGTGAGTGATAATTATTCCTGTGCTAGCTAGTTTTAAGGCTCGCTCTGGCGCTGCTGGTCGGCGCTAGTGAGGATGAGGATGGTCATGTAACGATGATGCTTGACTTCTAGCTGACACACGACATTTGCTGCGTTGCGTAACGCTGATATTACACAAACTAGAAAAAAATATATATTGAAGATAAAAACCAAACTCACCCAAAGACCGGTGGAAAAACGCGAGTCCGGTGTGTGTGTAGAGGGGGGGGAGGTGTTTAAAAAAACGGAGAAGAAGCTCGACACAAAACTACAGTAACCCAGAAAGGGAGAGTGATAGTCAGCTCCGCAGCGAGCGAATCAATAAGAGCTGGAGCTGGAGCAGCGACGGACCAATCAGCGCTCGGATGTCGCATCAACCTCGGGCTCTGATTGGCTGTATGTTTATCTGCTGTTCACCTTTTATTCATTCTCCTGCCAGATGTAGCATATATTTACCTCCCCTGGTGAGAAAAGCTACAGCTGTCTAGACATGAATTGAATTCATTTTTTTCCCCCTCCTTCTTCTTCTTCTTCTTCTTCTTCCCCCCACCCACTCATTCACACGTGGTGATTGAAGTGTTAAATTCAACCATGAAACAGGAACAAAACAAGTTACTGTACACACAAAAACAAAAAAAGGACCCCCGCCCACCCACACGGGGTGGAAATATAGAGATGCTTGTTATCTGACGTCATGATCAGCAAAAATAGAAAGAAGAAAAAATAAATAAAATTTAAAAAAAAAAAAAAAAAAAAAAGGATAATTTTAAAATAATATTAATATTCAAGTTATATTAGAGTCTGGAGTGTTAAGTGTCATATTTAGAAAATGCAAGAGAACAACTGAACTCGCTGCTCAGTAGGAATAAACATGTGATACAGTGATTTATCATTCAATCATGTGACAAAAAAATAAAAAATAAAATAAAGATTATTAATCTTGCAGCAACGTGAGAATACGGAGGTGATGTTGAACTGAGGAGACAAGTGGACTTCACACGACCCAAATTAGAGAGCGGGGTTTAATTTAACACATCCATGAGTATTCACCTCCATGGCCTACTTTTGTTAACAGAAAATAATAAATGAAATAAAAAAAACACGCTTTGACTCCATCTAGTGGACAAAAGAGGCAGCACACACGAGAGCCGACGACGCCTTCATATCGCGCAAACGGGGGGCTAACCTACTTCTTAATAACAGCAGGTCTCCAGACACCTGCGAGCACAGGGGCGGTCACACGCTGTCAAAAGATTCAAAGCGCCCCCCCACCACCACCCCCCCTCAAACAAGTGACATATTATTTTTTGCAGCATCCGCACGACGTCATCAGCAGGCGCCTTTTATTTACATCTGTTCTAGTTAGCCCCCCCGTCCGCCCCCCCCCCCCCCCCCCCCCCGTTAGCCCGCCGCCGCAATGGAAGTAAACAGGGACGAAGCGGAGCGCTGCATTGACATTGCGACCGCGGCGTTAACCAGCAACCAGCCGGAGAAGGCGCAGCGGTTCCTGGAGAAGGCGCAGAGGCTCTTCCCGACCGACAAGGCGAAGGGTGAGTTAAAATGGCCGAGGCCGGAGCAAGGGGCGCTTCAGCCGGGGAGGTACGCAGCATCATCACCGACAGCATCACCTGCATCCCGGATGAGCTCTGCGGCGCATGTAGCCGGGGCCTTCGATAGCACACTGGCTATCTGGTTTGGTTCGCTTTGTCCCATCATAGCAGCTCCTGAATGTCATACATGTTGTCGTTTAAAGACAGATTCAACCGCTCCTACCGGTTCTTAACATGAAGCAGATGTTTTAAAGGTGTCAGGGATAGCACGTATTAGTTGCTTTTACATTACAAAGCTGAGCCTAGAAAGTCAGTTGACTACAGGGCAAAGAGAAGAGGGGGGAAAAATGACCCCTAGATTGCAAACATCTCAGAAAAATCACGTTTTATCATTCAGTTTATTGGTTTTTACAATTCTTGTGCCACACATGCATACCTGGAGATGCATGTACACACTTAATATGCACCATTGGCAGTATATATGAGGTATGCACTCATCCATACGGTCATGTCAGATTGCTATTGCAGCTGCAATCAGCTAAGTGCATCCTGGATAAATGTCTGTTATCCACAAACAACTTGAATCACGGTACTCAACTTTATTTATGTTGCACCTTTCATAGAAACATGCAGCTCAACGTGCTTCACAGATTAAGATTAAAACTGCACAGACAAAAATAGACTAAATTGAGACTTAAAAGACAGAAAATTAGGCTAAAACAATAAAATGTTAAAAATAGATGAGACTGTTCCAGAGGCCGGGGCCACAGTGGCTAAACGCTGACTCTGCATGTGTTTTTGTTGAAACACTTGAGGCCAGCTGCAGAGGATCTAAGGTACATATCTATAGAGAGAGACAGGTTGGTCCCCCAGGTCATCTAAGAATCAGTAAAATTGTCTTAAAGTCAATTCTAAAACTGATAGGCAACAAATGCAACAAAAAAAAAAAGGTGTTATGTTCTCTGTCTGGTCTCCGTTAGTACTCTGGCTGCTGCGTTCTGAAGAGGTTGTAAGTTGTCTACAGTTTTTTTGGGTAGATCAAACAAGAGCGCAATAGTCACCATCAAGCTTTGAGGTTATAGAAGCATGCATTCATTTTTCTTTGTAAGCCTGAGAGAGAAATGGTCTAACCTTAGAAATGTCTCCAAGATGATAAAAGGACGCTTTGGTGACATGTGGGCTTCAAAATTGAGGTCAGAATCAAAGATAGCCCCATATAAGTTTTTGACCTGGTCCTTGGTGTGAAGGGCTAATGCCTAAAGGTGCACAGACAGTTGCTCTCTAAAGGCTTTTCCCCCCCAAACATTATGATCTCTGTCTTGATTCAGCTGTAGGAATTGAATGACATCCACAATTCCTACAGCTATTGTCATGTAGTTTCTTAGTTATAGATATATATAAGCTATAAGTACAATTTCATTTGTGTGTCCCATGTGCAGTTAATTACAGTTAGTGTATTATCACTATTGTAATATATGAAGTGTAGCTGTATGAGAGTATTGGATATGAGATGTTGGTTATGAAGCACTAAATAACAGTTAGTGTACTAGTTCAGCTGTTTCACAAATTTCAGTGTCTAAATATCCTGAAAGCATCAACAATTATCCCTACAATACTGTCACATCGATATGCAGTATAATCAATATTGATTATATATAATATGATTATAGTAACTTAAACAACATTTAAACCGCTGGGGGGGGGGTTTAAAGACTTCATCACTGTTAGTTCTCAGCTTATATGATATTCGAGCTGAGCTTTCTGTCTCAGAATTGTCCTGTCTATAAACATCAGTAGTCTTTCTTAAAATACTGTCACATGAATAAATGTTCATATTTAGGTCATTTTTTGGCATTTGAAATAGTCTGAAATAGTGTGATATTCCAGTGGGTTGAATTGGCACAGCTTTCCAATTTTAATTACAGTTTTCTCCTATTAAAAACCCAAATTAAAAAAAGGACCACAGGCAGAGAAAATAGAGCATACAGCAAGACTAGATATTGATATGAGATTCCTGAAGGGCACCACAGTTGCTACTCTGACAATATTGTATTGATGTAGCTGTTGTAGTAATCTAATAATCCATCCAACAAACACTTTGTGTGATTGAGGAGCCTGTGTTACAGCCTCTGCTGATGTGAGGGTCCTTACCATGGTACCTACTAATGCAGGGAATCCCAGTGTATGTTGAGTTATTGTCTGAATATATTCTAATGTTCACAACACTGTTATTGTATCCCTTCTAGTACTGCTGGAGCTAATAGCAAAGAATGGATTCACACCCAGACAAAGCGGCCACTCAGACTTCAGCGGGGTCTCGGGGCCTCGCCAGCGACAGACCAACAGTGAGGATACCAGACCTGAGGAAAAGCCTTCAGACACAGCAAAACCCTACACGGCAGATCAGCTAGATGCTGTGAGGAGGTGAGGCTGATAATCATGTAAAACTGGTATTGGTTAGAAGGAATAGTTATTCCTGACACCGAGAATCATGTGTTCTCTACACAGGATAAAACAATGTAAAGACTTCTATGAAATTCTCGGGGTCCAGGCGGACGCCTCTGAGGATGAACTCAAAAGATCATATAGAAAACTTGCTTTGAAATTCCATCCAGACAAGAATCACGCTCCAGGTGCTACAGAGGCATTTAAAGGTGACCAGCATGAACTTTCATTCATCAATTATTTATAGGAATGTAAAGATATATCACGAGGCGGTGAAATCGCAGTACAATTATGTGAAGGTTTAAATCGGTGAGATGAATAACCGTGATATAATTTTGGAAAAGTACATATGCATTGTTTATACCCTACCTCCGAAATAAAAAATGATTCTATAAATGAATAAAGAAAGTATAGTTTGTATAGATTTTTGTTTGAGAAAATCTTTTTCATAATTTGTCTTTAAAAAAAAATTGTGAGAACTCAGTATCATGAATTGTATAAAATCCTGAGTTAAGTGTATTTTTACATTAATTATTAATTAATTATGGTTACAGAATGTGTCTTTTAACCCTTCTTTGTGATGCTCAAACATAAACATTTTTTACATTTACAACAGCTATTGGGAATGCGTATGCTGTTCTGAGCAATGCTAACAAAAGAAGACAGTATGATCAATGTGGAGAAGAGAGGAGGCATCCTTCCAGACACGGCCCAGACAATGAAAACTTCGAGCCAGATATTTCACCCGAAGACCTCTTCAATATGTTCTTCGGAGGAGGTTACCCGTCAAGTTAGTGTCACTGCTTTGTGTTTTCATGCCAAGCTTGTGAGTAACAGTATGTTCATTGTAATGCTCGTTTTGTCTATTGACATGTGCTACATCTATCTAGGCAATGCTAATGTGTACACTAATGGGCGGATGCGGTACCAAAGGCGAGAGAGAAGGGAGCGACAGCGAGATGTAAGTTATTATTAGAGCTCCTGCAAGCTGACAATAATGTAAAATTGTTGTTAAACAAAAGGGGGAGACATTGAGTCATCTTTACCTCTTTTAGATGCTTCCAGTAATATTCAACTGTCTTTAAACAAAGCAAATAGTGTCTGGTGAATGATTCAGCTGTTGTTTTGACACTGAAATGTTTTCTTTGCAGGGAGGCCTCGCTCTCTTCGTGCAGGTCATGCCCATCCTCATTCTGGTTATTGTGTCAGCCCTCAGTCAGATCATGGTCAACAGCCCCTCCTACAGCCTCAGCTTCAGGCCGTGAGTGTGATCCCTGTTCTGAATGCCAGCTTAAAAAGGCCGTTAAACAACAAAACTACTTGTTGTTCTGCAGAATTCCAATACACTTAGACGGAAGATTATCTCCACATTACATAAAATGTCAACCCAAGTTCGTGGCTGTGTTTGAAATGTTACTGATTTATAAATTAAGCAGCCCAAAGATAGATTTGCTTTCATAATCTTTGCAGTTATATTGCTTCCATTGTAGACAAATCCATTATATTGACTTTTCATTGTGTTGTTAGATTTAGACAGAACATCTTTATGCTGCCTCAGTTAATTCCAAATAATCATAGACCTCTTCTGTGTTTGCGAGGATTGCTGTCTCCATGTGTTTGGCCCGTCTCCATATTGTCTGTCTGTGTGTTTCTGATACACTTCTGTAGTTTTTGGCCTGTCTGTGAGCCTGTTATCAGCCATAAGTTGCATTATCAGAGACAGAGGGTGACAGATCTGTCATCCTTGTGCTGCAATCGGTCATATGATCTCTCTCCCACACTCTTGTCCTATCTTCACGCAGGTCAGCAGGTTACACACAGAAGAGGCTGACTGAGAACCTGAAGGTGCCATATTATGTGGGGGAGCAGTTCTCCAAGGAGTTCACTGGAGTGAACCTGAAGAATTTGGAGCGAATGGTGGAGGATGATTATATTTCCAACCTTCGCAACAATTGCTGGAAGGAGAAACAACAAAGTATGTTTGCCAGGAAAACAAATCATGCTTGTTTATTTATTTATTTAACCATGAATATTGACTGTTTGTTTTTTCCATTATCAGTTCTGGGGAAATGATTAAAGCCATGTTGTGATTTTTATTACTCCTCATTTATCTTTCATGAATTGTTTCTCTTGTTTCCTGCAGAGGAAGGCATGCTTTACAGAGCTCGCTATTTTGGAGACACTGACCTGTACCAAAGAGCACAGAGGGCTCGCACACCAAGCTGCGCCAAGCTGTCCGAGATTACAGCTTCATTACATGGTTGAGGCTGCTTTCATAATTAAAAGCAAGTTCTCCAAATATTTTGTTCTCATTTCTGAACACATTTTGTAGTGACTGCCTGCATGTTCATTTTCATTTCACAACTCAATTGTCTTCTTCTTGTCTCCAGGTTTCCAGAATCAACACAAAAGATTATTGGCTGTAAATAGATGAGCTTTAACAATCTGGAGACTGAAGATGACTCAACAAGCAACACAAACAAACCAGCACCAGTCTGCATCAAACTGACCACATGAACTGGTTGAAACCTTTTCTGTGGAATTTTAGTATGTGAAATGAGAAAATATAATGTTAATATAATGTTTTGAAATGGAAAAGCCACTTAAAATAGCTTGTCCTCCTGACAAGGTAGGGGTTTGGAAAACCTCCAAGCTCCAGTTTTGACTGGGAGCCATAGAGCTGAGAGAGGTTTTTTGTGAGAATGCAATATGAAACCAGAACATAGTGAGATTAGTCGTAGTCGTACGGATGTTATTTACGTAGCAGTTGACTAAATACCACAGTGAATGCTTCCTTTTTTATTTTATGCAGTCAAATCAGCACAGGAGACACGTTTGAGGGGGGATTTGCTGATTTGACTTCAAATGCACATTCTGAAACTATGCAGGAATAATGTGAAACCTCGGATGAATATATACTCATGTCCAAGGCTTGTCAGACACTTGAACACCTGAGATTTGTCTTCTTCTGCTGTGTGTTTGTGTGTGTGTGTGTGTGTGTGTGTGTGTGTGTGTGAGATAACAATTAGGAAATGTCCCTTTACACTTTGCTTCCTTTTAAAGAATTATACCGTGTAACTTTATGGCACTACAATAATAAAAGCCAAGAGAACGAGAGACGTGCCTACCCACCCAAGTGGGACTTTAACAGGTTCTAGTTTTGGAGCGTAATGTCTCTGATGAACATCTGTTGGGAAAAGCAATTTTTGTCACACTTTTGAGTTTATAGTATGCTATTTATTTTTTGTATTTGTTTTAAAATGGATGATCAGACTAAGAAAACAATACAGTACTTGCTCACTTTTTCCACCTTGTTTTTACTCCCAGATGAAAATAAATTTGGATGCTGAAACACAATCGAAATGACTCATCTCTCCGAGCAGAACGAGCACAGAATGTAGAGACAAAAGCCCACTCAGCACATTCGGCACGTAAAGCCTGTCAGCGAGCTGAAAGAGGCTGGCAACTGGAAACATGGCTTTGTGCACGTTCACATTTCTGAGGGACGTGCTGCATGTGCTGGGCAGAAACCACAGCGCCACATTCTTTCACCGCGGATGTACTCAGCGGTTTTTGGCAGATGTTGGACCCCGGCCTTCTAATTTTGACTTGCCAGATTTTGTTATTGCGAAAGTAAGTTAAGTTTTTAAACATGCCCTTGTCGGCTGGATGTGGCTGATTAGGTGGCTGTCAGCTGATCTATATGACAATATAGCTGAATGTTATTCCTCAGTATAACAGGTATCTTAATGTTCTGGTATAGTGTGTCAAAGAATGGGCTTAAAGCTGATTATATGTAGTTGTATAGTTTGCAGAATGAAACACTTTTCTATTTGCCACCTACAGTAAATGCAAGTAATCCTGAACCTGGATTTAAGTCTGCAAATGGATGCTCTACATCTGGCAAGGTTCACAAAATAAGACAGAAAAGGGAACAGTTAAAAAAAATAATTTATTTGCAATCATGAAAGTACAAAAACAGTGCAATGGTATGAGTATTTGAATGTCAAATAAATAAAGTTGAAAGCAGGACAGGTCTACACAGATACAAGATCAAGTTATATTTGAAATCTCAGCCGCAGCTTGCACATTTACTGCGCAAGGCAAGCAGTGGTAGGCCTTCGCACTTGACATCAAGCAGTCACTAAGGTCCCTAATGCTTTGCTTGGTGTACAATTCATCACTTGGTGTACATTACAATTAATTGCCATGTATATAAAGAAATAACACAAATGGTCTTCAATGACTATAGCTAGCTGCCGTTGTCTGGTTTCAATAGAAACTGAGGTACGCACTTTAATACTCGCAAAATGCCTTTTTACCAGATATATCACGATGGTTACACATTGTAATTTGAAAATCTCAGTAAAGAGCAACACCTGCTCCAGGTACCATAAACTCGAGTTCCCTTACAGTAGGAACAATAGGCTAATTCATGAAAAAGTCCATCCTTTCACTTCAGAAGGCATCATATACATGTAGTTATAGTAATAAGGCCCTTCTGTGAGCTGAACTGGGCATTTTAAAAGCGTTGACAATAAAACATTGACGGTCCCTTTAATTTCTCAACATTCCTCAATGAGCAGTTCTTCAGAACAATACAGTTTCTTCTTGATCACGCGGAAACCAGTGCTAAGTTTAATAGCTTGCCGCACCACTGGAGTGGAAGGAGACTTTGTGCTAAAAAGTCCTTGGATTTTAGGCCACAGCCCACCAGACTCTAGCCTCAACACCAGAGTCAGCTGAAAGGTGGGGACAAGGTAGGGGTCCACAGATAGCTGCCCCATGCTCTCGCAGGTGGCCCCGTGCTCCACACAGAGGTCAATGAGAGCCCCCCTTAAACCGCAGGGCTCACTAGCTGCCAGGTGAAGGAGCTCCTGTCCAATGTGCTCCAGAAGTTTCTCTGGGATGAGCAGTTTGGTACATCGTAAGGCGCAGTCTGAGTCTTTGGCTTCTCTCAGGCTTCGTGCAATGAGGTCCACTACTTCTTTCAGGATGGTCTCCTCCATTGGATCATAAAACAGGTCTTCGTTAGAGGGAGACAGGTCGCTGTAGACATCTGACCCTGTTATAAAGAGACACAATGGGTTAGAACCAGAGCCATGCACAAGGAGGAAAATCCAATTCACCTCTATTGAAGTGTTAGAAATGTTTTGCAGCATTTTTTTTGTACCTAAGTCCGAGAGATCACTCCTGCTGCCATTGTTGGACCCCGACTCAATGCTGCTGCTGTTGGCAGATGTGCTGAAATCTGCCAATCTTTGGACAAGTTTGCCCCAGGACAGCCTCCTGGGACTGCTATCCACTGGAGAAGGGGGTGAGCTGCCGATATCAATGGGTGCAGAGAGAGCAGGCATGGTTGTCCTCTTTGCAATATTCAACAGTATCAGCTGCTTTCTGTGGTCAGCTGTTTATGAGGAAACAAAAAAAAACAACAGATAAGCACTCAAACTCGAGATAAGAGGTAGTACATAGAACATTAAATATAGGTAGCAGGCATTTAAAGTGTAGTTCGTTAAGGAGAATAACAGGACATGTTTGCAGGAAAAACATCTTTGTTTGAGGTAGCTAGCAGCTGTTTAAGTCATCAAAAATAGCTACAAAGCTAGCAAAATTAACATTTATAACAAAATACTTACAGCTTATTTGAACGCAGCGCTGTTCAGGTGCTTTTGGGGGTTTAAGATAGTTATTTGAAGGGTTATTGTCTACACAAACAACTATCTAGCAACTTCTATCCCCGACGCTTCTCCTTTCTCTCGCAAGCTGCCAAGCTCTGCGGTTTGTCCTGCAACAATGTTTATATAGGGGCTGGTAGGCCACGCCCATTCCTCTCCAGTCAGCCAATCAAAAAGAGAGGCACGCCATCTGCGCTGTATCTTGCCTGGTAACATGCCAGCAGAGAAGGAAGACAAACAGGAGGGGGAGGAGAAGAGGGGTTGGGGTGATGAATAGCAGACCCCAGTGTTATGGAAATGTACAGGGACTTGCCTGGGCTTGCAAGGATCTTATTGTATTTCTTTGTTTCATATCCTTCATATGAATAAATAAATGTCTCTGCTGTATGTGCATCTAGATTATTGACAGCTTAGAAGTCCAGCAACTCCATGCAGGCTTGCCTCAGCTGGTTGAGTGTTGCAGTGCACATTACGTCACCTGTTTTGCTCAACCATTACATCAGAATTTTTGATCTGCCACACAGAGATACAAACATCGGCTCATCAACACAGTTGGGTGCATTATACAGGAGTGGGTACATGGTTAAATGCTAATAAATGTATTTTCTATTCATAAAGATGCACAACATTTCTTCATTTGCCCTAAAATGGAAAACAAAGAAAACATGCAGAACAATAGGAATGCACCAGGAGGGTAGCTGACACAGTTATTTAATTATATCTTATAATAATTTATTCTGGTGCTATCAATGTGCTTTAGGGCATAAAAACACTGCATGGGATTGCCATTAAATGACACTTAATTTGGTACAGTGACAGACAAAAACACAAGCACATTCTGAGAAAACAGAAGAATATTATTGTGAAGCAGAAACTGCTGCTGTGTTTCTGTCTGGCAAGACTGCATTGTACATGACACACTCAATATTTGCCCAAAGAAAAGTTTTTGGAAAGCAGCCAGACATAAGCTGTGTGCTACACGTGAGGGGGATGGACTGTACATTATATCAAGGAGGAACTGAAAGACATAAACACGTGAAGGTACAGTATGTTCTGAGGGGCATGTTCTGAATTAAGAGTCATCACCAGAAAGTTTTGATGGGGGGGGGGAATGTTTGTTCCTTTTTCATATACAAAGAATGTGGACTACGGTTCATGTAGAAAAACAGAAAATAGTTTTAAGAACTACAAGCAAACAACTTGGAATATGACTTCCTCTAAAGTGTGTGGTAAAACAAACTTATGAACTCTTGAAAGGACATTTAAACTCCAGCTAGAGGTGTGTCTTGTAATGTTCAGGGCCGTCCTTAGACGATCAAACCCAGAACAGTACATTCTGTACATTCCCTCCCCTCATTTGTTTGAAAACATTCACTCTCTGAGCAAAACACCAAGAGGTGCACGTTTCCTCGCTGTCAACACAGCAGGCGAGTGACATGACCACAGTCGCATCTGTGAGTTTCAGACTTCACCTCATTTGAGTAAAAGAACAACTGTGCATTTTGGACAACAACTACGTAACTTGAGACACCATTACACAAACAACAACACAAAGATTTAGTTACAGCGTAATAGAAATCGGCTTAGTGAAGTGGGATAGCATGAGCTATGCAATGCCAAGCAAACAAACAGCAACTGACCCAAGGAATGTCCAAGTATGACTTTATTTACAAGCTCTCTTTGTTTTGCTCCAAGTGTTGTTGGAGCGAGCAGCGATGAGGACCCACGGAGAGAAGAGAGACTGAGCAGGCAGCTGGTTTTCAGATTTATGAGTTACAGTGCAGCCACGTAGAAACACAATGCCTCACTTCAAGGGACTTATTACATTACCAAATATATTCTTTCCCTTATCACTGAGGCTAAGAGCAGATTGGACTGGAAAAACAACTTTATTAGCCTAAACCAGTTGAAAAACCTGGTAATAATCTCTTACAAAATGTTTAATTTTCATTATATAACTTGACAGGGGGTTTATTTCAATATGCTGGATAAACTATAACAACTTGTTTTAAAAAAAGCAAACCTTGCTCATACAATTGTAAAAATGATAAAATAACACATCTCACATTCAGTAACTCCACATAATATTTCACACTTATAGAATAAAACCAAAAAGAAGGAATATAATTGCTCAATTTAAATAAACCATCTCCTTCTATTTGGCTGATTTATTAAGCAAAGGCATCTGGATCTCTTTATTTAAGACGGTGTGAATCCCAAAAGCTGTTCAATTGGTTTGTACCGCCACTCATCTGCTTCCAGCTCCTCCACCAAGCCTGCGAGTTTCTCCATCCGAGACACTTGTTGATCTGGAAGAATACACAGTTGTTAAGGTAACAGCTTTTCATGGATGGACCAAAAAAAAAAAGTGCATATACTGTTTCTTACTTACCATGTTTAACCTGTTTTAGTGTGGAGGCAACTTGGTAGCTGAATACAGACTCACATAAAAATCTGTCGGAGCCATCTAAAAAAAACAAACACACACACACACACACACACACACACACACACACACACACACACACACACACACACACACACGTAAAGGAGAAGTTAAATGCTGGTGAAGATTTCTTTAATAGACATAACTGAAGCCTTGGTGTTCACTAAGCTAATAGAAAATGTCAAACTTCAGGTTACTCGCAACTTTCAACATTGTGTAAAAAGAGCCTTCAGAGTTTTTAATTTTAAAAAAGGAAGAGGAAGAGGAAGAGACCTTCAGCATCACTGCAGTTCAACTCCTCACTTTATTAGCTGTTTTTCATCCTGCAATACTTCTATACAAAACTCACATTAACCACATTGATTAGTGTATTTTGAGGTAGACAGGCAACAATGCAGTAGAGTACAGAGCCAGACGGCCTTTTGGTCCCATACATAAATCCTATGTGGATACGTAATGAAGTGCTAAAGCAGAAACATGACAGACACGTTTATCATTAATATTTTGGGGTGCTATATAGGAATTCAGTTAAAAGAAACAAGACACAAACTTTGTGATATGACTTTATTATAGACACAGTATGTACTAATCATGTACTCATTGTTTTTACACGAAAAGGTTGCACTGTTTAACCAAGCATCTGTCTTTCTTACCCATAAATATAAGCAGAGAGTTATGAAACTTGGCAAACATACTTCTGTTTTGAAGACATTTTCAGCTTCTTCAAAAGGCTGGAATTAAAAATATTCTGTCTGTTGTGCAATAAAAAATGGTATTGCATTGTAACTAATGAAAACAGAAAGCCTGATCAACACAGGTAAATTAACCAGAAAACAAAGCTTTTAATTTAGGTAATGCACCGTACAAGTGAAGCAAGGAGATGTCACATATGGCTGCCACCATTGTTGGCTTAAACAACTCGGGAAACTGGTTAAAAGATCTTTATTGTATAGCCAGTATTCTTTCTATTTATTCATTATCGCTTTATTTTTGATCCTCTGTCTGAGTAAATCTGGGAATGTCTTCAAAAACATCTGCAAGACTTCATCATTCAGAAAAACAGACGCTCAGCTCTTATTTGACTCCTTTCTCACTGTAAATGATCTTAAAAGAAAACAAATGTGTGTTGTAATCTCATTATATGATGTATACCTGCACTGCTTTGTTGGGAGGAAAGAGGCAGCTAAAGACAGACGCCTTTAACTGCGTGTCTGATCTTACCTTCCATCATTTCACCTGCGCCTTTAGGATATGTGTACAAGACTTTCCTGGGAGGGATGAGCTCTGAAGCACTGAATCCAGAGCCGGTCACCGAGCTGCCGCTCACACCTCCGGCAGAGGAGGATGAAGAAGACGCAGCCATTACCTTTGGAAACTTTAAAAAACAAAAACACACAAAGGAGAACTGTCACCGCTATAATGTGAGCAACACAAGTAACAGTTACAGTTTTGAAGGCGAGTGTTTCAGTAAACACGAAGGAAGTTAACCATAGCCAAAACAGCCAACAAAAGCTAACGTTAGTAGTTTTTTTTTCTTTTTAAATCTTTGGTATAATCTGATAGCTCCAGTGCTACAGCTAGCGAGCTATAGGTGGCTAGCGAGAAAGCTAACTATCCTGCTAACTGACAGCAATGCAAGCAACGACCGTTCACCATTAATGCTACTAGACACAACAGAGCAATAACCAACCTTTTTTCTAACAATATAACCCACCGGCGTTGTCCCGGGTTAACCTATAAGGACTTTAAAGCTGCGCAGTTAGTTCTGTTGTTTGTTTAGATGTTTTACCACTAGTTTACGACAAAGCCGGCATTTTACGTTTGACGCGATGACGTTCTTACCACAGATTTGAAAGTAATGGGGATGGCTCGCCTGCGTCACCTCTAACGGAGTGGTGGCTTGTAGATCTACTGAACATTAAAACGGCCCCCGTGTGTCGTAAAGCAGGGAACCCGATACATGAACGTCAACAGTATGAGCAACTAGCTACTCAGTTAGTGAAATAAGTTTTGAAAAAGATAGCAACTTAAGCGAATTTAACTCATTTTCGTGTCGCTAAATTGCTAGCGAGCTATTTAGATATTTATTTATACTGCTAGGTTAACTTAGGGTCATCTAACGTTAGCTAGTTTACAGTATGGATGTTTTACGTCCGTCTCTTATCAATATACATGGAAGGATATATCGAAGGAATATCATTAAGGAGGAACATTATGAGGAAGAAGAAGATTTCTCTTACATGGGACCACCAGGTAAGTCCTGTCAGCGTTAACAGCTGCCTTAGCTTGCTTATTTGAATGAAGTCACAGCTAGTGCTATCAGGCTGCAGCCACTGTTTCTTAAATAACAAAAAACAAAGTAGTAATATATTTGTGGTTTACCATGTTTAGAGAGTGAAGACCTTGCAGAAGATGAAACCTGTGATACCCACTTCATTGAACACACTGATAAAGGATACCGCTGTGCCATAGATGTCCCAAGTGTTCTCTACAAGTGAGTTATTTGTCTTTATTAGCAGAAGTAGTTGTAAGGTGTTTTGTTTCTAGTCAGCATAATGTGTTTGTTTGTTTGTTTGCTTGTTTGTTCTACAGATACATCATTGGGAAAAAAGGAGAGACACGCAGGCGTCTGGAGTTTGACACAAAGACATCTATCAGCATCCCAAAACAAGGAGTGGAAGGACAGATTGGTGAGGATTAAGAGAGTCATAAACCAGATTAAAGAGCGCTTTCTGAAACACAAGATTACCTCTCAACTTTCTTCCTTTGCCGGACAGTTATCACAGGTTCCCAAAAAGCTGCCGTCTCATCTGCAGTCACACGAGTTGAGGTCCTGGTTGAGAGTTTCCGGAAAAAGCAGCCTTTCACGCACTTTCTGTCATTACCTCTGAATGATCCCAAAATTCAAGAGGGATTCCTGAGATTTAAAGACGAGGTGTTGCAGCAGTGTTCGCAGGTACTGTAGACGGAAAGATAAATGTGAACGGTGGTGATAATGAGGGGCAGTGGTGGATCAGCACATCATGTCCTTGATACATTATTCAATCACAAATTGTTGTTATCTGATGTGTAGGATCATGGAGTCGAGGGAAGTATCTTTCAGAATCCTGCAAAGCTTCACCTGACGGTCGGCACCATGGCTCTGTTGAATGACGTGGAAGTGAGAAAAGCATGTGAACACCTCCAAGAGTGTCAAAACTTCATCAGGTAGGGGCCAAACAAGGTTATTATGTCACACTAAAATTCTAGCAGTGTAACTTAAAATCACTGCTTTAAAGGTTTAGTAGGATCTACAATTGGAATTGGAATATAATATTAATAGGTATGTTTTCATCAGTGTATAATCACCTGAGAATAAGAATTGCTGTGTGACCATAGAATGAGCCGTGTTTATCTACGGTAGAGGCCGGTCTTCTGCTACGGAGTCCGCCATGTTGAACCACCATGTTCCTACGGTAGCCCAGAAGGGACAAACTAAACATTGGTTCTGGATAGGGCCTTTTGTCTTTTTGGTAGCCACCCTAGTTTCACCTACATGCTTGGAAAGCGAGTAGTATTGGTTGCAATCTGCAACATCACCAGTAAGTGCCATTAAATCCCACACATTGGTCCTTTTAAAGGATAAATCTGGTGATATTCTATTTTCTTAGTGTTAACAAAGCCCATGAAAACCACAGTGAATAAGTACTAATACTAACAAGTATTGTCGGTGTAGCCAAAGCCTGATATAACTTATTCCTCTGTGCCATAAACACACACATCAATAAGCCGCACTGATGCACTGTTGCACATAAACTTGGGCACTGTTGTTTATTTTTTAGTCAATCCAGTCTACTCTGTCCTGCTGTAAATACTCACAACTGCAACAAATCCACAGAAGAAAATAGTCCACATGTTAAATATATACATAGTATATATTTGTGACCTGTAACATTGTTTGTTTTGGTCTATTCATAGGATTTGTTGGCAGTGACAAACATACAAAACACCAGCCTTTATTCTTTAATAACTAATGGGCTTATGTTGTTAATGTACATTTTAAAGGTCTGATGAGATTTGATGCCTGAAAACATCAAATTAAAATCTGAAGGCAACCCTAAATATATTATAACCCTGATATACCAGGTGAGTCACTGCAATCTGCTTTTTGCCGTCTGTCATCAGAGACATCACAGAAGGAAAACCTCTACCATTGGAGGTGACCGGAATAGAGTACATGAATGATGACCCAGCCATGGTGGACGTCTTGTATGCCAAAGTCAATGTGAAAGACAGATCTGACAAGTGAGTGGATCTATAACAAATCCTTTGAGTCCAAAGTTGACACACTTTTTAGTCTGCTGGAATCAGTTTTTTCCCACAATATATATATTTTTAATATTGCTGCTCTTAAGGTTGCAGGTGATTGCAGACCGGCTGGTAGAGCACTTTGTCTCAGTGGGGCTGATGGTGCGAGAGTGGGACAGAGTGAAGCTGCACGGCACTGTGATGAACACTCTGTTCAGAAAGGACTCTACAGGTAAAGACATTACACACACGACGGGCTAACCAGCACTGGGCCTGTAGCTTGTGTAAAAACAAAGTTATTGACGTGCTGTGATCACATTGGTAGCTCCTGTTTGCCAATGTCCCCTTATTATCTCTTGGCTTAGACGTGAGCAGCAGTGACGACAAAGCTGAAACTTGAACAATTACAACAACAAATTTCTGAATATAGGCATCAGGCAGCTTGTTCTCTTTTTGGCCACAGCGCTGTTTACGTGCACCAAGCAGTGTGTTTTCCAAGTACTCTGACAATGGCTTCATTCATTTTGGCCATGGATAAGGTCCAGCCCCAGTTCTCAAATTTGTACTGAGCTGACCAACAACACAGCACAAGCGAGGGGCTGTGTCAGTGCTCACAATGTTTGCCAGCATGTAGACGAATCCTATTAAAATTCAGTGTTTTTTCTTCACAGTAGTCCCCGTTTCACAAACTAAATGACCTTGATTGTCACCTTTGTATTGCCCACTGTAGCAGAAAGTAAACATGTTTATTTGATCAGGAGATCTGTATGTTTTTGTTCTGTCTGTATTGTTTAACTTGTCTTTTACACTCTGGTGTTTTTCCAGTCGAAGACACAGGCGGCCCAGGAAGACAAACCATGAGTGAAAGAGAGGCTTTTGATGCCAGAAACATTTTAAAGGTTAGAGGAAATTTACTCCTGCATGCCCTTTCAAATACTGCTGAATTACAAACACCCAAATTTGTACTCATGACTTGACTGCTGTCAACACCCACTGACAATTACACATGAGGATTTTGAAATTGTTTTTAGCTATAGGCCAGATGAAAAAATACTTTTTTAGTGAAATTCAAAAAGTTTAAGTCCAGTGAATAACCTGGAATGGTACAATGCCAAAGGTAAAAACAAGTTTAGGTTTTTAAAAAAAACTAAAAAAGAATTTAAATTCCAATGTTATAAAAAAAAGGGGGATTGCCAACGTACAGCTGTTCTGCAGCAATGGAGGTAAATTTAACCGTGAAAGCTGATGCAAACAATTCCTATAGGTGTCCCAACATTTGTTAATTGCTTACACAGCCTCTGTATAAAAGCAGTGTTGGAACAGACTGTGTTACTACACCCTCTGAATCATTGTTCAAACAATACTGCACTGTAGAAAGTGGTACGTTGTTGTCATAATGGGCGAGAAAATGGCAATTAACAAAGGAAGCCTGACAGAACATTATGCTCTGTTAAGGCACCAGCAGCGATATTGCACCATACAACTGCATATTCAATGTACTGTGTGTAGGGTTTTCAACTGTGGTTGACATTTCCACTGCCTTTGGAGTCCCATTGGGATATGAGAGCTTGCCAATTAATAGGTCTTAAAATAGAGAGATTTAGGTCTGGGGGGGGGGATGCTCTGATACCACTTTAGCAGGAACAGAGGATAATCAGGTTAATTTAGGGGCTGACTCATTCTTACCGACAGTCACAAAGTGTTATGATTTCAGGCTGGTACTAAGTGATTTTGTTCCAAGACCAGCTACAATAAGTAATTATATGTTAACCCACCTGATCTCCTTAGAAGCCAGTTATGGTCGCCTCAGTTTTAAATCACAGACAAAACATCTACATTGGCTCTTTTTTGCAGCAGACATTTTGACTTGTCACAGCAGGAAGCGCACATGTGTTACTAATAACATTATCAATGGCTCTCTTCTATCCAAGTCTCCCAGTAAACCATGACAGTGAAGCAGCTATATTCAATTCCGTCGTCATTCATTTTATTATTTACACCTGTTCTTTTCCTACGGTTTCATGTCAAAATGACATATCTATTGTGAAAAAGAACTATTTTCTTGTCCTGTGGTGTTTGACAGGCATCATTACAGTGTATTACATAGAAATTGCGTATTACATGTGGGAAGAACTGATCAAAGACCTACTGCACAAACACTGTAGACAGTTCTAGCAACATTATTGAGGCAAGTGTTCACCTTATTGATGCCTAATTGGAGTAATAATGAGGCAGTTAGATCCCGGTCATTTTGGACTTATTTACACTAATAATAAAAGTCACAATCATTAATATTTTATCAGTGTTGGCTTAGAACCAGAAATGTAAAAATATAGGGCGCTAAAAATCTATTAGTTGGTAAAAAAAGATTAAGAGCACCCTGCTGAAGAGTGTATTGATTAAACACGTTATTTAGGGGAATAAGAATAAGCCTGTATACCTCAAAGAGGAGAGTTTTGATTGAAAGAAAGACACAGCCTGAAATCTTCCAGATGCAGTTTCATTGTGAGTGATACCTGAAATGTGACACTGCAGATTAAAAACAAATCCACCCTCCTTCCTGAAGTCTTTGTTTGAATAACAAAATCCTTGATTTTCTTTTCTGTGAAAATGACACGAGGGTGCCTACCAAATGCTCAGTCGCCCATAACCATGGTAACACCATGTTTCTGAGTGACAGCTTATTATCCTTTCTTGACTTTTTAAACACATTGCTCACTTTTCTGAACAATTGAGTGGTAAGGTTGTTTTGTTATTGGGAACTTGAATTGACTGTAATGCAAAATAAGCAAAAAAGAGTTGTTTTTTTTAATTTAATTATTTGCTGTTTTCATTCCAGAAATTTGGTGCTCATTGTTTTGGAGAGTTTCAGCTGAACACCGTCCTGCTGTCCCAGAGATATTCGACAGATTGTACAGGTTACTACACCTCTGCGGGGAGCATCAACTTCTCATGAGCTGCAACAGGGCTGAGCATATTCTGAGGTGGGAAATTAATAATGAAGAAATGTAGTTTGCAGTTTAGCAGACAATTAAAGCAGTCTTGATGGCGTTGTCCACCAGGTGGCAGCATTGGGTTTTTATTTTATTTTATTTGCAAATGACTTGTTACAACCAAATTCTTTTGTTTTCTAAAACCCCTCTGGAACAGTTGTTGCGGAAAAATAAAATGATCAGAGTGCAGAATGATTGAAATTTCAGACTAAAGCTCATCAAAGATGACATGCATGCAAAATCACTCTGAAATGCTCTAGGTAGTCAAGTTTTGTTTTTGTACTCAACACAATTGGCTCTCTTTAGGGAATCTGAGTCAAACAGCATCAGAGTAAATAACATGAAATAGATTTTAATGGGACAGGCAATCAAAAGAAAACATGAAAAAAAGTGAGAATTTCTATCAAAAACCTGTTCATCCCCAAATACTTTTGTCTTGATTTTGAAAATAGAACTTTACTTTTGCAAGATTTGTTCTCTCCAATGGAAGAATTTTATTTTGGATAGGAATCACAGGAGAATAATGTTATTTTCTGGGAAGTGCTGCTCTTGAAGAGGAGGAGATGATTGACTTTGTGTATGAAAGTCAGATAGGATTTATGCTCTGGATATCAAATATATTGTAAGCTGAAAAGGCCCCGTGCACAGCAGTGCTTCTCTCCTTGGTGCAAAGCTAACCACAGTAAACCAAAAATAATGTCGTGAAATGTAGCAAATTAAATTTAATCCAGTACGGTACTTTTTGAGATCGTTGTCCATTTGATCTGATTTATTACTTTGTCCTTCCACTCCACTACATTTCAGAGGGAAATATTGTAGTTTTTACATTTAACTAATGGCTTTAATTAAGATTTTATGTTCAACTTGTGTGCTATGATGTATTGTTATAGATTTAATGAGCAGGCAGTATATAAAGTAGTTAAAATTAGCTCCACTTCAACCAGCTACAACAGTAAAATCCTAAATTTTACTGAATGCAAAATTAATAGTAACTGAAAACATGTAATACAACACTTTGAAAGGAAGACATATTGCATAATATTTACTTTTGATACTACTTTATATACATGTGGCTCACAAATACTTACATACATTTTGAAGCCAATACCTTTACTCCTACTACATTTTAGTAAAGGATGAGTACTTCTTCCACCACTGGTTGAACATTTACTTTTTGTCATCTAGTACGTATCAACATTCAAACACAGTGTTGAATGTCGAAAAAGAAATTGGATGTGTTGCAAAGCGTATTTCATGCCCTGACCTGACCATTCTTGTGAGCTTATTGGCTGGTACATCTTATACAGTATAGGATCAGTCCGGTCATACAGGAAGTAAGTATTAATGGCAAGTTCTGAATAATTTAAGGAGTCTTCCTGCACTTGTCAACCATAATAGCTGAAATAGTTAATCAAAGTTTTCTCACTGTTCTTCAGCCAGTCCAAGGCTGCTCTGTTTTGAGAAACTCAGACATTTTACTAGCAGATTGTGAAACTTAAACTATTATAATTTAGCAAATATTATATTTACAGGGAATATATATTTACAAGTTCTATTAATCGTTTAAAAAAAAAAGCTTTAATAGCTGTTGAAACATTGTGTTTTTATCTAGACTCATCCACTCCCTACTGAAAGTCATAAACAGATATTACCCATGTCTTTCATCTCACTGCCTTATGAATGCGTCACTGACTTGATTTATTACACCAGTCTGGGTTTTTTTCCATCTTTTTTTTTTTTTTTTGTCAGTGCCCTTCCCACACCAACCACAACCTTGTTCCCACTCCCGTCTGTCGAGTGTGTCAGTGAATACAGACATCGGACTCAGAGCCCGGCCACTTGCTTTTGACGGCAAAGCTCTTTTTCTTTTTTTCAGCCCTCCCCTCAGCTGCCGATGCTCTCTGCTTGCCATGCAGGAGGGCGATCGCAGAGCGGCCAAAAGTTACACTGATGAAAACTGAGGGCGCTTTTTGTTTGTCAGCTCTACCATCCCGTGCTGTCCACCCTCCCATTTCAGGAGTGGCGTGACTTCTTCTTTTTTTTTTTTTTTCCCTATGTGCTGGTGCCATGTCAACAGACACCATTAGACAGGGACATGCAAATTTTGTAATCGGAAAACAGCCAGCCGAGCCATCCTTGCATTGACTATGGCACTGTCTGAGCATAAAATGTGTCTTTTCAGACCCAGGAAAAGGGACCTAATTAGCCACTCCCTGTCTCCTGAGTGCATGCTTGTTAGTGGGTCAGGAGGAGTACACATCCAGCATAACACCACTCTCAGGTAACGGATACAGTGAGGATTCTGGGAGTTTGCTCACCGTGAAGGAGACAGAGAGAGAGGATGATTTGCGAGTTAATGAAATTCATTGAGACTGTGCATCCTTGTTCCTTTTGGCAGGGACATGATTAAGGATGCGTTGGGCAGATGTCGTCAGTAATGATGCTACTGAAAACAAATGTGAAGGAACATACGTTATCCACGGAGAGACTCACACACTTGTGTCGTCTAATTTGTCAGTATCAGTATAAGGTGTTTGGTTTATATTTGCGTTTTGTTGCATAGATCAGGACATATTGTACTAGGGCTGCAATCAGCGTTTATTTTTCAGTATCAGTATCAAAAGTGAAAGATTTTTATGTTTTAGAAGCTGGAACCAGCTGTTTCAGTTCTAGATAATAATGCATTTTGGTCACCTTCAAGTCACAAACTGAAATTTAAAAAAAAAAGCGCTACATACGGTGTTTGTTTGATATCCACAGATTTATGTATAGTGTGATTTGGGTGGACTCTTGACAAAATCACGTTGCTAGGCATGTCTTGTGTGGGTGAGCTTGCTTATGCACAAAATACATATTTTTTCTGTCCTTGCCACTTGTCTCACCCTAATTAGTCATCTCTGTGCTTCCTGCTGTGGGAACTTTCAACGTGACCCTTGAGATTTTCGAGACTAGCATGTGTCCCTTTCAGTAAGCCTGATAAATGAGACCTCGGTGTCTGTTTGTGTTAGCGAGGACCTGTTTCGTCTGTGGACGTGCATCCTTATTTGTGAAGATCTGAGGAGACACAGGAGCTGGATTTTAATTAAAATGTTGAGTTGTCTCTGCAGACATTTGAGCATGTGCCTGTTTACATGCACTGATGAGTCACATAGACTGTATGTTTAGAAGGCTGGTTCGCTTCACCCTCTGACAACAAGCTTTTGCAACGTAAAAACCAGTTGATTAAAACTTATTTTCTAATTAATTTCCTTTTTTCCCTGGTGTAAAAAGAAAAAAAAGCTGTGATTTTACAAGAAATTAAAGCAAAGCAATGTCTTAGATGACCCCATAACTATCTAAAAACTTACATTGAACCTTTCTGTAATGAAAATTCATCTCATGTTTGGTAACTGAAGTCTTGTGTTATCTCAACCAAGAATTGTTTAGGCTTCTATCCAATTTGCATATTTAATTTTAATTTAATTTCATGCAAGTTTTCAAAGTAGCCTATTTTATGCAGATGGCTGTTTGAAACAGGTCTTTCTTGAACAATGTCAAACCTTTTAGTACATTTTGGGTTTTGATATTCAGAACCGCACTATGCAATTTTTCATAGTGTAATTAGGAATTAAGCTTTCATTCAGGAGGGCTGGCGTTAACATCTGTTGGGAGGGGGGGAGGAGAGGCGATGTTTGACAGACATGACCTTTTAATACAGTAGATATGTTTGATTTGCATGCTCGGAGTAACCAGTAATACACATGAAATCGATTAAGCACCTAATTACTTTTTAAGGTCACGGTAAATTTTACTAGTGTGCGTGCCTTAAAGCTCGAATGTTGATTAAGTTCATTTAACAGAGCGATTCCTGGAATATTTTAAACCAAATCCAATTAACTTAAAGGATGAATTTGACAGCATGGGAGCACTAACATGACATTTCAGTAGTAAGAGTCATACTCCCGGTGTCATGTTCTTCCCTTAACAAGCTCGAATCTCAAGATTGTTTTACGAAGGTCTTCCGATTGATCAAACACGTCTTATCCACGAGAAGTTACAAAGGTAATCTATAAATGATCCTGCTAGACAAAGCCCATGAATCATTCAAATTGGATATTGTTAGCAGTGAAATATGACAGGGCGCCTTCTTTTGATTTTTCTCTCATGTTGGATGTGACTCTCTGGTTGGGTGTCACCGCTGTTTGAATTTCTCACTAATCACTCTGTCACTAATGGGCATGAGCGGCCTTGACGGACAGCCAAGGCTAGAGTATTTGAGATGTCTAATCTGTGTCTCCAGCGAGAAGGCAGGTGATCTCTGCAGCAGCTCTTTATCATTCAAAGTGCTGAGTCTGGTGGCTGCCTGCAGCTGTCCACGTCTGTTTACTGCTGGAGGCATTCAAACAGGGAGGAGAGGCACAAAGCCAAGTGTGTTTGAACAGCAGGTAGTCATTCAAAGCTGCTGTTTACTTTATGTACACTTTGCACAATAAGAGTTTAAAATGGGGCTGTAACAAATTCATTATCTATTAATCTCCATTACCTTTGTTTTGGATAATTGTTTAATCTATAAAATGTCAGGAAATAATGAAAAATGGCCATAACAATTTCGCTGAACTCAAGGTGATGTCTTGTAATTGCTTGTTTTGTCTAAAACCCAAAGATATTAGATTTATCATGGTATAAATAGCAAACAATCCTCACTTGTGACTGTTTGGAATTTTTGCTTAATACACTGCTTAAATGATTAACCGTTCATTAAAATCTTTGGTTGATCCATCACTAGTCATTTGACAGTGAGATAAAAGCAGTTTATATAGCAACACCAAGTTAACGACTATAGACGAAGGATGACAACCTTTATTTAAACATAGTTACTGTGTATATATATATATATATATATATATATATATATACAGTAACTGGTTATGAAACAGTATCAGTTTAATACTGACGTCTTTATATGACCAATATAAACAAATTAGACCATCAGTGAGAAGATTGGAATTTCTATACAATTTCTACACAGCAGACAAGTATCATCCAGTCGTGTTTCTGGCCACCTGATGAGTACAAATCAAATACTCGCTCTGTTTTTGGTCTCCACCAACCCCTGAAGGACATATTTGGTTCTTTAACTGCTCAGTGCTCGACTATATTTCTGATTATTGCAGCTTTAAACCATACACGAGGACACAAGGTGGTGATGATGTATCAAAATCTTTCGTTGATTAATTGTCTGTTCATTGCATTTCAGCACAGAAGGCTCACACCATGATCTATTCAGGTTTAATATTCAGAAGCTGAGATTCACTGCTGCAAATGCTCTCTGTTTCTGAAGCTATAAATTCTTAAACAAATCCTCCTCCTGACTTTCTCTTAAGATGTTTCATCCATCCACTCCAAAGTGTTGCAGTGTGAAATCCCTTCATGCAGCACTTAATGCCGTTTCTCATTGCTAGGATGTAGAGGGAAACCGATGGGGGATTTGTCATTTATAGTAGTTGGTATGAGCTTAATAATGCAGACTAAAAATAAATCATCTGCTGAGACTGAGCATGTCAAGAGTTCAGATTATTAGCCAGCTTCTGTCTACTGTGTACATTTAATTGAAAAAGGTGCTGCACTCTCTTCCACCCCTGCTGCAGCTGCCCGCAGCACAAAACAGCAGCTACCAGTTCTTTCCTGGCAAAGGCAAACTGCTGTCAGACAGCTCTCATCTAACTTTGCACTTTTAATAGCTGTGTGACCCAGTTTGAATCCAATTGAATTAGATCTATATGCGTTTATAGCAGCTCCACTTACAGCTGTAAGTCACTTGAGATTACTTATTAAATGCCTCCCGATGTGGTTTATTCTCTCCTCAACTTTCAAAATAACTTCTTTTGATGGTTCTCCTATCCAGGAACTTACTTTCAGGCTTTTTTTCCCCCTGCGCACCTTCCTGTTGGCAGCACCTATCACAGGCTGTAACTGCTTCACAAACAAGTTTATATTGTTATTTCTTTTTTAGTATTTAAGTATTAAAAAGTGATTAAATCATGGTTTACTAATAAGGCTGTTGTTTGTATGAGTGTTTCTACAGTTTTTTGCCCATATATTCTGACTAAATGCATGGAAAATTTCAAATATACAGGGTGTCATCTAACCTTTTCTGTCATTATGTGGGCATTGTTATATTAACTGCTTGTACAGTGTGTCAGTGTGGCTGCAAAGTGATCAACAGAAATTGAATCAACCACAATTAATTTAATATATTTTTGGAAATGTAACTGTGTAATGTAAATTTGTGTTTGTGATCTGTTGGTCAGGCCAAATAAGCAATTTGCAAGAAGTTGCGTTTGACATTTTAACTGACTAAATAATATATTAATCTACCAAAAAACAGATTTATTGTAGATGAAAATAATCAGTAATTGCAGCCATAGGGTTTTAAAATGCAAATATTGATCAATGATTATGTGTTGCAGGTCATCGATGAACATGGCCACAGGATGTAAAGTGTTCTGGGTGATGAAGAAACTCTCAGCTGACAGTAAAGCATTGTGGGGAAACGTTTCCATCAGATGATGATCGTGAATGGACAACCAAGTGTTGTTGCATCTTCGATAAATCTTTTGCTGGAAATGAACATTTATCTGGGTTTCCTTCACGGTGGCAGGAGGTGCGACATTTCAACATTCTGTTTAAATCTGACAGGAATAAATAAATGTGTAAAGCACCCACCCTTGGCCTGTTGCAATTAATTGTGGTGTACCAGGAATTCCTGAAGCGATCCTCATGGAGTTGTAACATCATGTGAGAATATGTACAGGCACGATAAGCAGCAAAGCTCGTGTTGGGCCCTTATGAGCTATTTGTAAGACAGAAAATGGAGGTGCTGTGTTTACATTTGAAGACAGCAAATATTTACAGATAAGCAACCTTTCAGATTCCACTGCTCGCAGTCTTGTCTGATGTTATTCAAATGAAGCTTTCCTCTCCTCAACTCCTTTTGTGTGAACCGAGTATGGTTGGTGAACAGGATAGATAAGTTTTTATCAACATCTGCCTAGAGAGGAACAGGGGGAACTGATGACATCAGTTAATCTCTTTACAATTAAAGGCGCTCTTCCGCAGCGTTATGCTCTGATATACAGAAGAGGATGTTAAACAAGTTGTGTGGAGCTGTGTTTAAAATATATAACAGGCTGCACATCACGGTTTTGTTTTTTGTGGATGTAAATGTCGTTCAAACTACTTGAACATTATTCCTCAAGCAGTCATTAAGAGACTGTAATAATATGATAAGGAAATTAAAAAAAAACAAAAAGTAAACTTGTGCATTAAAGGTCACTTTAGGGCAAATTCTAGTAAGGACTGTAAAAGCAGGGATTAGTTTTATGAATTAGGATTAGTGATTAAGATTTAGTAAGATAGGCTTTTCGATCCAGCGCTGTGATATGGAACGTCTGCTCTCGTACCCACTGATGACTGACTAAGAATGAGGAAGTTCTTCATCTTCCTACATAGCTAACAAGCTACCAAGCTACATTCATGAACTATAGCTATAACTGTAACAATTTGTTATAATTATAGCTACTAACTCTAAAATAGCCCCCCTTGGTGCGCCGATGTATGAAACAAAGTGCCCTCTTGGATGCTCCTATGGTAGATGAAACATGATAAAGTGCCCCACTCTGCCTTTGATTGGCTTTCCCTGACATTCTTACCCTAACCCTAGCTAATCTCACTCCTCATGTCTAAACCTAACCAACCAAACCAGTGAAGGCATTTAGCCCATAGGCAGAGCATGGCGGGTCATGACTTTTCCACTGTGCGGGAAAAAAATTGGCTCCAGTCGACAAAACACATAAAACGCCCTGACTAGGGTGCTAATCCTAACCCTGTCTGCACGCTGGAGTCCTTTTTATTATTTTATTTTTGCCCTTGCCCCACCACTGTCCATTATTTCAGGAACTGCTTTATCTGAAAATTACATTGGATACCTCACTAACATACTTTTGAGGACATTTAGGGAGAAACAAAAACAAAATGGCAGTTCAGGCTATTTTCAGCCCATCAAAAATAGCCCAAGTTTAAGCTGAGTTCTGTTGCAAATAACACTGACAACCAAACCTGCTCAGTTTTCTTTCTTCAACTATCAAACCATCTTGGGAAATCTCCTAATCAAGTACTTAAGATAAAAAAAAAAACAGCTCTGACAGGATCCTAGTAGGGTAAAAATATAAAACTGCCTCACTTACTGCTGGTGTAACTTACTTACGGTGTTCCGGTTTACACAACCTTTTATGGACAAGCATCACAACACGTCCGTAGAGATAATGGATAAATTATCCAGTCAAAAAATATGCGAGAAAACACACATTGCCATCCAGGTAATTAAAGATTGCATTTTTTTTTATAAACACTAAACATTTTCAAAAAGGATAAGAATAACCACAAGAAAGGAAGTTCTGGATCAATGATTGAGTAATCTGTCGAGCTTCAGACGGAAATGCACAATGAACAGCCCAGTAGAAAGATTTATTCAAGTTGTACTTACCTCTTACACACCTGTAACTGTCCACATAGAGTTTCTTTTTGAGAGTCCTAGTAGGGAAATAACTTGGCACTTGCAGCCAAATCCCATTAATACCCTTCGATTGAAGCTGATATAAAACTTTGTATTTGCATTTTCTGTCCGTCTAAGATGAATATTTCTTTACCACCAGTCTCAGTGGGAACATTTGAGCCCCTCGCCATTTTAGCAAATACAAAATGAGAATTTTTGCATTCGACAGCAATACATGACTCTCAGCCACAGATGGGCCGTCAAAGCCTCGGAGGAGCATGAGACCTGTATGAATGCTAACAAGAACATCTGGGGTTGTTCACCACTGTCATCAAGACTGAAAGGCACAAATGGTCACTCACAGTATTTTGAAAAGTGAATCTATTTAAAGAGATGGAGGGGTGAGATCCCAGCTGAAGCTATTAATCTGGTATTGATCTCTGACTGCGAATTCAATCTGATCAGTGAAGCACAAACATTCTAGAAAATCATTTTTGCCTGTACCACATGTGTTGTAAGTATAAAGATGGTTTGCTGTGATTACTAGTCCTTCATGGTCTCTGTGCTGCTGCTTCAGATATTGATAGAGTAGGAGAGCTCTCTACAATTAAAAAATAAAGATCTTCTCACCCCTAAAACTCACCCTGTTAAGAGATAAACCACTTTCATCAGCATGTTTTCAATTTACTGTTGCTGTTGTTGCACATGTAGGATTCCCTTAGGAGCCGCTTTCCAGAGACACATTTCCAAACAACAGTAGTCAAAAACTAATGGTGCAAAGCAGCACACGGTCTTTAAATGCTTCTGAGCGACCCAGTTCAGCTGTGTGACCATCAATCAATTCATCTTCATCATGACACGACTGATGACGACCTCTTGATTAACACATCATGTCCGGCACCTCGTACTGTTGACGTGCACAGCTGGCTGACGCTGCGGGACATTTCTCCTGCTGCCCTTGCGTCCCAATGCTGGAGCTCTGCACACTCAGGAAAGCCTGCACCTGCCACATCAACTATTTTGATGCCAGTGTCAGTGTTAGTTTGGCCAGCTAAGCAGCATCCCAGGAATGCTATCCTGCCCCACCGGCTTCTCAGCCTCGGCCAATATTGGTAACCTTAAACTCAAATGAATCTGAGCAGAGCGCTGGATTATGTTTATCTTCATAGGGATGAAATAGAGAGCGGAGGGAGTGAGTGAGAGAGGGCATGGAGAGTTAAGGGAGCAGCAGGAATAACGTGGGCAGACTTAAAATGATGTGCAGGTACAGCAAAACCTTGTAGGTCACGGAGTCTTGAAGAAAAACGTGGCATCACAGCAGCAAATATATCCCGTATTTAATCTCTTCAGTCACACAGTTCCATCCTTAAATTGCAATCATTGCTCTAGATTGTTTTAGTCATTGATTGATTATTGATTTTAAATATGCTTACATTTCTATGCTGCATATAATGTATATTTTTTCATTATAGTCTTTATATTTTCTATAATATCTTTATAATATTTTAGTTTTATTATTCTTTATTGTACTTTTGAATTACATTTTCCCCTATGCTGCTGTGTCAAACCTTTCTCCCACAGGGGATCAAACAAGGAATATCTTTTCTTATCTTATGTTACGCTGAATTACAGGGAAATGTGTGAATGTACAAGACATGCATTACATGTAGAGTTTTCTGATGCAGTTTCAGAGAGCAGTGAAGGAGGAAATGGTTACTTTGATTATAATTGATCGCCTCTTTAATGTACTTTAATGTATAAACAATAAAAAAAATACAATGTCGAGTTGATTTGAATATTTATACAGAGATTTATGTAGCAAACAATGTTGGATATCCAGAGATGTTCCCTGAAAAGAAAGAGCCACCTCTGGATTGCCTAAACAACTCATCAGAATATGGCAACCAGCCAGCCGCTGTCAGTTGTTGCTTCATATTTATTTTACTGACATGAAAGTGATATTGATTTTCTCATCTAACTCTGCCAGAAAGCTGAAAGGCATATTTCCAAAAGTGTCCTTTAAGTTAGGTCCTGCTTTATTCCCTTCAGTTATCTTGAGGTCCTGTCTTGAAGAATGTTCCTGTGTCAAACTCCAGTTTTAAGACCTTTTGTTGTTTATCATCATTGTGCTGATATTTAGCTTATTACTAAATTAATTTGCGTAATATAATAATTCCCACATTGTGCAGATAGTGGGAGGAACAGTGCCAGGAGCTTACTTTTGCCTCGGGGCTCCCTTATAATCTGTCCACAGTCAAACAGATTAACAAATACCAAACATTTCCCAGTAATAACTTCTCAGTTGTGAGAATTTGTGCCTTTCTTTGTCCTATTGTGAAGACATTTGAAAACATCATCTTCGGCTTTTATTAATCAAGAATATAATCAGCAGATTAATTTATAATGAAAATAGTCAAGGGGGTGTCTTGTGTCAGCTGCAGTCCTGCAATTATTTAATTGCTTCTGGAAAAATCATGGTTCTTTCTTTCTTTAAAATGCTTTGAAACCTCAAATAAGATTAAATAAAACTTGATTTGATTAATTTACCCCACATAACTGATGTTGCTTCTGAGGTACTGGAACAGTCTTTCAAACTACTTTAAAGGAAATTTAGGGAAATGTTGGGTTCAGATTAACACGGTTTCCCCAAATAATTTACATAAAAAAGCAAATTGCTAAAGTTTAGAGCACAGAACCACGATGAAGGTTTGTTCTGGGTGTATATCTAAGAGAGAGTCACACATTTCACAGTAAAACACCTTACTGATCTCAGTCACTCTAACACATTCTCTCTCTGTGATGAACAAATTAAAAATGAAATGTTGCACATTTTAAGATATATTTAACCTTATTGTCTCCTCAGTGACCCTCAGCAATGTGTGGAGCCTAGTTTGGGTACCACTGTTTTATGATGTTACTGCATTTGCAGCAATTTCCCAGCATTTTTCACACTATTTCCAACTTTATTGTTTAAACGAGTGACTCAATTTTACTGGTTGGCTCTTCTGTAAAAGAGCTCAAGTCAATCAGCCTTATTGGCACAAATATTAGACAGACATTGGCCTTTTTCCAAACACATTTTAATATGATAAATATAGTGTGATTGATCATCAGTACAACAATAAACATCTGTTCCACTGCTATGATGCATTTGTGATAGTGTGTATGCAGTGTGACTATCAGGATTTCCAAGTGTGTGTGTGTGTGTGTGTGTGTGTGTGTGGGCTGCTTACAAACAGACAAAAAGAAATCGAAAAAAATGAAACCAAGTAAGCAAAAATAAATGATTAGTGCAGGACCTGATCTCTCCTTTAACTCCCTTTCTCCCTCCCCTCTCCCCCTCCTCCTCCTCCTCCTCCTCTCTCTCTCTCTCTCTCTCTCAGTCTGTTGAAGCAGCAGCAGCACCAGTCTTGTATGTGGATCATTGGCAGTAGGACAGCAGCAGCAGCAGCAGGAGGAGATACATCCTAGACCAAACTGCCTGAGCAACATGGTCGTTTTGCGAATTGTCGCTTGCCTGTGCCTGCTGGTGGGCTTCTCGCTCCAGGTGGAGGTGAAAAGTGGGAAAGAGGCAGGAAAAGCCGGGAATTTCATGGAAGATGAGCAATGGCTGTCAACCATCTCCCAGTACAGCCGTAAGATCAAACACTGGAATCGCTTCAGAGACGTGAGTGGTGTGTTTAGTGTAGTGTGTACTGTAATTATACGAGCGTGTGTTTGTCGTATTCTTATCTTATGGCGCTTGAGATGCTGTGTGTGGAGAGGACGCGGGGTTGTTTTCTCAGGTGATGTTGCGCACAGTTAACTGTCGCTCTGAAGTGCAGATACGCGCAATATGAGCAGTTTCTACTGAAGAAATAGTTCAAAAAGATGGAAATATTACACGGTATAAGATGTTCAAAGATTGAAATGATTGATAGACTACATTCATATTTTCTTTCCTTTTTTTTTGGAAAGGTGCCTTATTTCATTCATTGTCAGCCCTTGAATTGGCTGACATGTATTAACAGGCTACTATTTTATATTAGGTTGAACTGACACTTTTATCTATGGACCTTCTTATAAGTGAATGAAATACAACTGGAAGGAAATCTATGTCATTAGCCCAACTCTCGAAAGCTTCTTTTGGGATAACTGTGATATTCCCTAACAGTGTCTGTATTCACTGATCAATACCAATTGATCTGCCATACTGCACATACAATGTAGGGCTCACATTTAAGAGGCTTCCAGAGCTTTTCAGACTCAGCCACACAGCAAGACATCAGCTGTGTATTCCCCAAAATCACAAATAAGAAGTATTCTCAGGGAACAAACATTTCTTTTTTCCCTCGTGGATCTGTTGACTTAATTCTGTGCTGTAAAAGGGCAGCTCTGTTTGTTCTGTTCAACCAGATCTCTTCACTGGAGATGGACAATAAATGAATTGATCAAATTACAAACAGGATGTCCTACAAACTTACATATTGCAAATTAGAGCTGAAACAGTTATTCGTCGATCATCAGAAACAGTTTTTTTTCTAGTTTAGGCTTCTCCATTGTTATCATTCATGAGCACTTTTTTAAATCATATATATGATAGTAAGCTGAATGTTTTTGGGCATTTTGCATATTTTGATATTTCATAGATTAACAGACTAACCGATTAATCGAGAATATAATCAGCAGATTTAATGAAAATTAAAATAATCCTGATTGCAAGGCCTAATTGTAATCTTTAAGCATAAATTGTTGGAATCATATATAGTTAAATTGAAAAAAGCTACAGGAAACAATGAAATTTTAATTTTATGATGTTCAACCAATCAGCCGCCCAACAGTCCAGGTCATGGGATATTGGTCAAAACTTCTATCACGGTATGTCTTGATAGCAATATGATGTATATTGTGACAGGAAATTCAATTGAGACACCATAAGTGGATACAATAACCAGACTGGAGTGTCTGTTTTTTGGTTAATCCACCAAATTAAATACCTAATAAATCAACATTATGCAAAATCCTGTAAATCCAGTATTTCCATAAAGCAGTCCTGCTCATGAATGTTCACCATTTCCCACAATGGCCTCATACAAACAGAGATATTACAGGATTAGCTACCTCAGTGTGTAAACAGTCTCGCATATACAGTAAGTATATGAACCAATACATGGTGAGAAAGTCTTTTGTCACTTGTGCCATCTGTTAATGTTGATCTTGTGTGGATGCTTTACATATTTTTTGGGTTCTGTGTTTCAGCTGGCTGCAAGACAAATTTCCCTTCTGTGACAATTAAGTTAAAGTTGAGTTGAATCCAACTTTTACACGCCCAATTTCAATACCTCAACTCAGCATATGTGCCGATACCGAGTACTGATCTGATACCAGTGCTCCCCTTTTATCCCTGGTCCCACTGTATACCTCACTGTCTGCAACTTATTGGAATTATTTTTATGTAACGTGATATGAGACCAGGGAATGGCACAAAATGGCACTGAGTGGGTTTCCTGCTCCTTGAATTAATGTAATTGATTGTGAAAACACTGAATTTTAGATGATATCTGACATAGAAATAGTTTTTACCTTGAGTTACAACAGCCCTGCAATAAATTCTACCTTCATGAGGGTTAGAATATTAAAATTGTTTTAAAAAGTGTTCATTGAACTTTCTCATTTTGGATGCTGGTACTTGTGGTGCTGTTGAACTACATTTTGATACACTAGACAACAGGGGATATACGTGTGAGCATGGTCAGGGGTCACAAGGTTATGTGTTGGGTGTGGGTCATTGGTACAGTCGTGAAACCTCCCTGGTACCAAAAAGACAGAACACATGGCATGAATCAGAATGTGAGGGATCTCTGAGGAAGAGTAGTCAGTTAGCAATGGCTCAGATCCAAGCCTCTACCTTGACAACCTGACGATTGTTTGATCTTATCGGTTGACTGTCACATTTCTAAGAGTGGTTGACTGACAGAGGGGCTGAACAGGGAGGGATTGGGCCTTTCTGTGGGGCTTTTGGTGGTATATTTGGGGCATGTACACCCACACTGTCCTAAGAAGATTTCTAGAAGTTCAATTCATTTGAATTGAGTTGCATCCGGATTCTGAATTTGCAAAATGTTGTCAGAAATCTTCACCTCCTAAAATAGGTATTGCATGTTTCAGCGTGGTGACATTGGACTGTTAATTGTTTGGTGAAAGGTGGTGACGATTGGAGGGGCCTGCCACTAAACTTAGCTCACATAAAACAGGATTACAAGGATATACGATGTCTAGTAGTGCTTTAATTAGTCTATGAAAACATTAGAAAATTGTGAAAAATGCCTGTCACATTTCTAAGAGCTCAAGGTGACATCTTCAAATTGCTAGTTTTTCAGTCCAAAACCAAATTATATGTAATTTACAACTACATACAACTGAGAAAAGCAGCAGATCATCTCTTTTGGGAAGCTAGAACCGGCTAATCTTTTATGTTTTGCTTCATAATTGATTAAAGCAAATGTAAAAAATTGATTCATTGATTGCCAAACCGATTAATCAACAAATCATTTCACCACTAGAGTGTGAAAGAGAGTGTGAAAGGTATTCACCCCTCTGACATTTTCTTGTTTTATTGTTTTACAACCTTGAATCCCAGTGGATTAATTAGGCTTTGTTGCAGCTCATCATTAGAGAAAGACTCTTAAATGTCAAAGTGAAAACAAATCTGTTGATCAGTTTCATTAAAGTTTAATTAATCTGCTGTGATTAAAATTTGCTAAATCATAAAAGATGAAAAAGTCACAGTTGGGGTGGGGGTGGATACTTTTTAAATCTGGGCCTACAGTGTGTGTGAGTGTGTGTTAAGACCTCAAAGGGTATTCATTGGTGTTCAGACTAAAGATTCAGTACAGTAAATAATTAAATTGAATTAATTACAGCAACATGTTGAGGCTTTTTAGAGTGATGTACAAATGAGACAGAAGTACAGTGGCACAACAAATTATCAAATCACATTTCTTAAAAAGCAAAGATAGTTATATTTTCCCATTGCTGATTAAAAATGATGCACATAAGACCACAGACCCCCAGTTTGAGATATTTTTTCTTAAGGAATCCCCTCTGAATCTTTTTTTTATTATTATTATTTTTATGTTTAAGGATTATAAAGTCTTCATAGGCAATCACTAAAAACAGCCAACCCTATTTCTTTCCTTGTTCCAACTTCCAAAAAATGGGATAAAAACTGAAATATTCTATTCCTCCTTTTGCTGGGGACCCCCTGCAGCCCACCAATGGACCCCCTGTTGGTCCCTGGACCCCAGTTTGAAAACCACTGGTGTAATTTATTGTCACTAAAAATTGTTTTTAAAGGACTAGCATGGGAAAGGTTTGTGGTTTGTGGTTTGTGCCCTTGCTTATACCCGCCTCTTCATGTAAATCTCATCAAGGCAATGTTGAACCACAGCACATGATTGGTTGACTGTAGAGAGCCGAGCTGGCTTGGTTCTGCTCTTATAGGACTATTTTCTGCTGTACTGGGCAGTGAGGTACAGCGATTGAAATATAACAGAGTTGTATTTGTTTACTAGCTGTCTTGGCAAGCAGCTGGTGCGAAAACAACAAACAGGAATATTCATACTGCATCTAAATAAAAATGGGTAAAAAAAAAATCACTATGTGGGCTCTAGAAAATAGCGATGGCAGTTTGATTGATCTGACTGGTGTTTAAATTGGACCAGTGTACGTATGATTATCCAGCATGCAGACATAATAAGGACACGTTGAAAGAAAGAACAATAAGACCCAACAGCTGCAGAGGCAGGAGGTGTTGGGATAATCCACAGCAGGTTACAGCATGTTAAACAAGCTCCATTATGACTGGCATCAGCGTTGACGCTGTAATCATGACACACTGCAAATGTCAAGACATTAAATCGTCCGATATAGATTCCCTCACATTCACGTTTGCACAGAATTCACCCACACAAAGCAGGCCAACAGGTTGCAAATATATCCTCAAATTAGGCTGTTATTTGCTGATGGCATCTTCCAGAATCAGCTCATCGGTTAAAATAACTTCTCTGACTAACTGATGTATTTTTTTTTTGTTTGTCCCAACACAAGTTCCACTTTGCATTCTGGTGTGTTTGGGTGGATCTGCTCAGTGGGAGCTCAGGCCACCGCTCATGTGAACAATACTGTGCTGTTCATTCGCAGCCAGATTCTCCCATCTCTCTGAGCAGTGCAAAGAGGGAACTCATTAAGTAGCTGTGCAGCCTTTCAGCCAACCACAGAGGGCTGTTTAAGGTTTGCACCTGCTCTACTGCCAGCTACATTTTTAATGAGGGAAAATTGCTACATCTTTCTCAGGTAAATGGCTCCTCTGGTCGTTTGGTTCTTAAGATTAGCACTGAGTAAAGCAAAAATAGGAGTGATCATTAGCCTTATTGGTGCTTGCGAATTAATTTAATTTAGGACAGTGATAAATGCAATAATTAGATTACAATGAGTGGTTCCTCAAATTTTACCCAAGCCTCTCAGTGTGCCTAAATCTACATCCTCAATATTCATGAAGGAATATGAATGAAAGAGGGAGAAAGAGAAAATAACTGTAATGGTTTAAACACTCATGTATAAGCTTCTGGGCTGCAACTAATGAGTATTATATATTGATTGTTTCAATTATAAAATGTAAAATAAATA